CTTGAACGGGGGGTGAGCTAAGGCCTTCCCGGGATGGTAGAAATCAAAGGGCCATTAAAAGACTTAATCACCCGGAAGAGGGGGCCCTGGAAGAAGGGTGCATTTGAACCTTGGAGAGGGTTCGAAACCATTCGACATGGTTAAATCTCCAGTATTCTTACCGGTTAAGAATACTTCAAGAATTACTAGGTTACAGGTGCTCCATCTACAACCTACCGATAAAAAATAAAAAAAAGAATACCCCGGTCGGGTATGGGCACATCAGAACTTCGAAAATTCTACATCCATCGAAAGGCAAGGCAGTTGACCGGTCAAACCATGGCGTGGTAATTCACCGGTCAAAGTAAGTTTTGCCGAAAGAATTGGTGAAGCTATCCAAAAGGCAAAAGTAAATTTCGGCCGGTCAAACTTTTTAAGTTGGCCAAAATGATGAAGACGTTCGAAAAGCGAAAATTGAAGTTTAACCGGTCAAAGCTACTCGAGCTAATCCTTCAGATAAAATGATCAGAGAGAACTTTGAAGTTCTCCCGGTCAGAAACAATGGAGAAGTGGTCTGATTGGGCTACCGGTCGGAATTTCTATGATGGTTATTCTAAGGAGCAAGATCAAAAAAATAAATCAGACAAGCAATCAGACGTGGAAGATTAACCGGTATGAAAAGAAAACATGGCATTCAAACGAAATAAGAATGTTAAATGTTTTACAACTACACCGGGCATCCCCGGGGAAATTTCAAGTTGAGGTTTTTACAAAAACAACCGGGCACAACCGGGGGGCCTAGTCTAAGGGGAAAGGGGGAGTAGGCTCTTCCTCTGGGATTGGGGCCAGGCCATAGGATGCAGCGCTGAAGTTTGGATCTCTCCTGAGCAGCACCCGGTGAGAGGCGATCCTGTCCTTCTTTTGACCGCTCTTGAATCCAAAGGATCCAATCGCGGTAATCATCTTCTTTCCTTCAGGCTCCCGGTACAGAAGCCTGAAGGACTCCTTTGTCGTCTCTGGAGTCGCCGTCATCACCCGGGCAGCAACGCCCTTGTTCTCTTCAACCCAGGCGACAACACGCCCGGGGAAGGTTTCTTCCTTCTCCGCTGCTTCCCTCTGGGCCTCAGAGATTTCATCCATTAGCCGGCCATTCTCCTCCTTTAGCTGTGAGATCTCGGTCTTCAGGGTCCCGGCTAACCCAGACAGCCTGATCAGCTCGTCAGCCTGGCTCTTCAAGATGAGGGCCATCTCCTCCTTCTCCTTCTTCAGCCGGGCAAACTCCGAGGGAGAGCCTAAACCAAGCCGGTCGGCTGTGAGG